AGTTGAGAGAGTCTCGCTGTGTCTCGCAGGATGGAGTGAAGTGGTGCGATCTTGGCTCACTGCAATCTCTGCCTCCTGGGTTCAAGTGATTCTCCTGCCTCGGCCTCCCAAGTAGCTGGGTTAACAGGTGCACGCCACCATGCCTGGCTAGTTTTGTATTTGTAGTAGAGACGGGGTTTCACCATATTACACAGGCTGGTTCTCAAATTGCTGACCTCAAGTGATCTGCCTGCCTCAGCCTCCTACACACAGTGCTGGGATTACCGGGGTAAGCCAACATGCCTGGCCAAAATAAGGATTTTCTAGATCAATCCCTGCAGATGGATTCCTTAATATGTTGCCTTCTAGTGTTATCTTCCCTAAAGTTTCTTAGAAGATTCTCTTTTGGAGGTGGAGGACAGAAATCCACAGGACTTTACCATTAGGATTTACCTCTCACTTCTGGAAGGTTCTCAACCCACGTGCATATTGAAGGCTCAAGGAAGTTGTATGGAAAGGAAATCTGTCTTATTCTGCCACGCTCAGATTTTCCAGACTTTTTTTCCATTATTAAGGAATTTATTTTAGGGGGGGGACAGTCTTGCTCTATCACCCAGAGTGGAGTGCAGTGGCCTGATCTTGGCTCACTGCAACCTCCGCCTCCTGGGTTCAAGTGATTCTCCTGCTTCAGCCTCTGGAGTAGCTGGGACTAGAGGTGTATGCCACCACGCCCGGCTAATTTTTGTATTTTTAGTAGAGACCGGGTTTCCCCATGTTGGCCAGGCTGGTCTTTAACTCCTGACCTCAAGTGAAGTTCCCACCTCGGCCCCTCAAAGTGCTGGGATTACAGGCGTAAGCCACTGCACCCGGCCTTTTTCTCCATTATTAACATCACCAGAAACAGTGATTCCAAGGGCTCTGAAACCCCACCTTCACCAGTCCTGCCCAGAAGTCCTTATGTCTCACCCCTTCTCCGTCTATGTCAGCGTGACGTAGGCATCACATGCCGCCACTCTCTTCTGACAGGACCTTGTTTTTTGGGTTCCTTCTGCATGAAGCTGGACCCATTCAGCCAGTACTCAGATGAAGTCTGGACGTCCCTGGAGCTGGCTCACCTGAAGGACTGCGTGTCAACCCTTCCCGATAGGCTGGACCACGAGTGCGCAGAAGGTGGACAGAACCTCAGGTAGGCGGGGGTAGACTGAGGAACACCAGGTAAGGTCTGCTAGGCGCCATCCCAGTAGGGGTGTTTGAATATTCTGTCCAGATCTGTGTCAGACCTGGATTTGAGTCCCAGTTGTGCTGCAGATGTCCCATTTGTCCCTTCAGCTTTTGGAGCCTCAGTTTCTCTATCTGTATAATGGGTCTTAATCCAGGCTCTTTGTACCATGAGGTATAATAACCAGGATGGACAATGCATTTCCTTTTATACACACCAGCTCCATTCAGTTGACAGTGGCCATCAGTTGTTAAGCTATAGAAAGGCTTCTGTACCGGTTGGTCACTAGCACTGCTCCGAGCCCAACGTCCCCAGCTGTCTTGGTCCTTCTCCCAGGATACTGGAGATCTGTCCATGACCCCGCAACTAAAGCATTAATGCCTGGCACAGCAGGGGAACCTCTGGGGTCCCATTCTGGTGTTGTCAGTGCCTGGTTCTGGTTTGGTTATCCGTCTCCATGACAACCAACCACAGAGTCTCAGTCACATTCAACCGTAAAGCAGTGATCTCTGCTCCCTGGCAAGGGCAGTCGGGCAGTTGTCTGGGCTCACATCATGTCTCGGGATCAGCTGGCTGTCGGCTCATCTACTTGGCCTCAGGTGGCGCAAGAAGGGTACGTGTGCATTCCTCATTCTCCAGCAGACCAGCTTGGGCATGTTGTCATGGCGATCACAGGGGCACAAGAGCACACAAACTCCCATGTGCATCTCGCAGTAGTCTTCCGGCTGGCCTTATGTTTGCTGGCGTCCCACTGGCCAAACAAAACAAGGTACACGTCTGAGTGCAGAGGCAACTGTCATGGCCCCACAGTTGGATAGGGATGCATGAATATGAGACCTTTTTATGTTTTTGAGGCAGGGTCTGACTCTGTCACCCAGGCCGGAGTGCAGTGGCGCAATCTCAGCTGTAACCTCCACCCCCAGGCTCAAGCAATTGTCCTGCCTCTGCCTCCCAAGTAGCTAGGATGTCATGTGCCCATCACCATGCCCAGCTAATTTTTGCATTTTTAATAGAGCCGGAGCATCAACACATTGGCCAGGCTGGTCTTGAACTCCTGGCCTCAAGTGATCCACCCGCCTTGGCCTCCCAGAGTGCGGGGTTATAGGTGTGAGCCACTGTGCCTGGCTTTTTTTTTGAGAGACAGGGTCTCATTCTGTTGCCTAGGCTGGAGTACAGTGGCTCGAGCTCAGCCTTGAACTCATGGACTTGAGCAATCCTCCTGCCTCAGCCTCTGAAGTAACAGACTACAGAAGTGTGCCACCACATCCAGCTAATTTTTTTATTTTTGTTTTTTTTTGGAGAGAGAGAGGTCTTGCTTTGTTGCCCAGGCTGGTCTCCAACTCCTGGCTGCAAGCAATCCTCCCACCTTGGCCACCCACAGTGCTGGGTTTGTAGGTGTGAGCCAGTTTTGAGAATGATTATGAACCTGCATCTTGCTGAGTAGGAGATGTGTTCAGATTGATCAGTGATGTCTGCTGCAGGCACAGATGTTGGGAGTGGATGGGCTCTCCTAGTCAAGGAACACAGAGTGTCTCGTCTCACTTCTCCCAGCCTGCACCTAGGTTCAGGGTCGGGGTGGTTTGACCCAACACTGTCTCCTGGTCTTTTAGGCAGCGCCAGCTTGTGTGCCTGGCTCGGGCCCTGCTGAGCAAGATGAATATCCTTGTGTTGGATGAGGCCACGGCGGCCGTGGACCTGGAAATGGGCGACCTCATTCAGTCCACCATCCAGACGCAGTTCAAAGGCTGCACTGTCTTCACCGTTGCCCACCGGCTCATCATCATCATGGACTACACAAGGTGATGTCCCTGGCACGATGGCACTTTGGGAGTTTGCCTTACTCACTGGCTTATTAAGTCATTCATTCAACACTGTCCCTATTCCCAGTGACAGACCCAGTGGGTGGATCGTCTCTTCATCCTGGATGATACCAGATATTTCTTTTTTGTTTTGTTTCTGGAGACGGAGTCTTGCTCCATCACCTAGGCTGGACTGCAGTGGTGCAGTCTTGGCTCACTGCAACCTCCACCTCCTGGGTTCAAACAATTCTCCTGCCTCAGCCTCCTGAATAGCTGAGAGTACAGGCATGCACTACCATGCCCAACTGATTTTTGTACTTTTAGACGTGGGGTTTCACCATGTTGGTCAGGCTGGTCTTAAACTGCTGAGATTACAGGTGTGAGCCATGATGCCAGGCCCTAGCCAGGGTTTTTATCTATGGTGTTTTTCTTCTATTCTGGTTTCCTGTGGGAAGGGGCTGGGGTACTGTCAATCATGGGACCTGATCAGAGAGGTGGTCACATGACACAGCCTAACCTATCAGAGTCTACTCTTCATTCGGTTAATGTGACGAGTTCAGAGATGCATACAACATCCACAAAGGGCCAATCAGAACCTTCTCTGGGATTAATATGGGACTAATGAGCTGGAGAAACATTTTACGTGTTGAATTGCTAAGGTGAGATGATGTGATGGCTAGTGGCCATCTGACCTGCCCTGGAAAAAAGAGCACGTGCAAAATGCGACCAAACAGAGGTAAGCCAGTGGCTCCTAAACATTTGTGTGCATCAGAATTACTTGGAGGGTTGAAACCTAGATTCATGGGCTGACTCACAAAGTGAGTTAGGCCTGGGCTGGGGCCTAAGAGTGTACATTGCTAACTAGTCCCCAGGTGAGACTGCTGCTGATCCTGGGGCCACACTTTGAGAAGCTGCCTGTGTCTGCTGCCCACCCACTGCAGGGTTGTCTGCCCACAGGCTCAGCCAATAGCCCTGGCAGAAGTAGGCAGCTTGTTGGCAGAATAAGAGGAAGAGCGCGTAGAGGCAGAGGGTGGGTTTCCATGGGCCACAGGTAGGCAAGGTACACTGCAGCCTTCACCTGTAGCACACAGGAGGGAGAGGGAGGCAGAGAGAGCCCCTGGAGGGAGGGATGAGTTAAGGCCAGGCAAGGCTCTCAGAAAACATGCCAATGGGCAGAGGGAACCACCACAAAGACCCCACAGGTTCTTCCTCTGTTCCTCCCAACAGGAGCTCCATCTCCCCCACAGGCCCTGGATAGCCTGAGAATCCCCATCTCCTATACAATCCCCAATGAGTTAGTATTCATATATATATTTTTTTTTCTTTTTTGAGACAAGAGTCTCAGTCTGTCACCCAGGCTAGACTGCAGTGGTGTGATATCTCAGCTCACTGCAACCTCCACCTCCCGGGTTCAAGTGATTCTCCTGCCTCAGCCTCCCAAATAGCTGGGACTGCAGGCACATGCGATCACACCTGGCTACTTAAATTGTATTTTTAGTAGAATCAGGGTTTCACCGTGTTAGCCAGGATGGTCTTGATCTCCTGACCACATGATCCACCGTGCCCAGCATTACTTACTTATTTTAGGACAGGGTCTTTCTTCATTGCTTAGGTCACCCAGGCTGGAGTACACTGGCACAATCATGGCTCACTGCAGCCTTGAACTCCTAGGCTCAAGTAATCTCCCACCTCAGCCTCGCAAACAGCTGGACTATGGGTTTGTACCACCATGCCTTGTTAATTTTCCTATTTTTAAAGAACTAGAGTCTCGATATGTTGCAGAGGCTGATCTCAAACTCCTGGCCTCCAGCGATCCTCCCTCCTCGGTCTCCCAAAGTGTTTGGATTACAGGTGTGCGCCACCACACCTATCCAGAAGGGCTTTCTTGAACACCCACCATGGGTCAGCCATGCTCATAATAACCTCCATTTCACAGAGAAGGAAGCTGAGGCACAGAGAGGTTCGGGCACTGGTTTAGGGTCCTGCTGCTACAAATCTGAAGTTCCATGCACAATTGCGGCCAGACAGGACTGTTGAAAACATCCATCTAATCCTATCTTGTCACTCGCCTGTCCATGGCTCTCTCTTGCTCTTAGAAGAAATTCCAGCCAGGCAGGTGACTCAACACCTATAATCCCAGCACTTTGGGAGGCCGAGGCAGGCGGATCACTTAACGTCAGGAGTTTGAGGCCACCCTAGACCAACATGGTAAAACCCCATCTCTACTAAAAATACAAACGTCAGCCAGGCGTGGTGGCAGGTCCCTGTAATCCCAGCTACTTGGGAGGCTGAGACAGGAGAATTGCTTGAATCCAGGAGATAGAGACTGCAGTGAGCCGAGATTGCTCCACTGCACCGCACCCTGGGTGACAAGAGTAAAACTCCATCTCAAAACAAAAAAACTGAAATTCCAAGATTCTTATCTCGTCCCCACTTACTGCCTGCCAGCCTCATGGGACCCCTTTCTCTGGCACCCTAAAGTACTTACTGCTTTGGAGCCATTGTGTCTGCTGCTTCCTCTCCCTGGAGTACTCTTGCTCTTTGTATGATTAGTTCCTTCACACGTTCTTTGGGGAAGCTCACATGTATCTTTTCAGAGCATCCTATCCACACCACCCATGACCTTCAGTTGGTCTCCATTTCATATTTTCCTTAAGAGGCAGGGTCTCACTCTGTCACCCAGGCTGGATTGAAGTGGCATGATCATACTTCACTGTACCCTTGAACTCCTGGCCTCAAGCAATCCTCCCACCACAGCCTCCCAAAGTTGGGATTACAGCCGTAAGCCACTGCGCCTGATCATTCTTCTTATTTTTTTTTTGAGATGGAGTCTCGCACTATCACGCAGGCTGGAGTGCAATGGCACAATGTTGGCTCACTGCAACCTTCACCTCCTGTGTTAAAACGATTCTCCCACCTCAGCCTCCTGAGTAGCTGGGATTACAGGCGCCCACCAACATGCCCAGCTAATTTTTTTGTATTTTTAGTAGAGATGGGGTTTCACTATGTTGGCTAGGTTGGTCTCAAAATGCCGACTTTGTGATCCACCCGCCTCGGCCTCCCAAAGGGCTGGGATGACAGGTGTGAGCCGCTGTACCTGGCCCATTATTTTCTTTGTAGCACTTACTGTTATCAGATATGGCTTGCTTATTAGCCTAATCATTTTCTCTCCATCTATCCTCACTAGTATCCATCCAATCCCACCAGACTTAGCCTGGCACATAGTGGGCATTGTGTATGTGTTTGCTGGATGAATGAGGGGGTGGGTGGGTGAATGAGTTGGTAGCTAGGTAGGTCGGTATGTGGATGAGTGAGTGAATGGATGGAGAGATGAATGAATGAATGAACGAACGGCTAAACAGATGCGTAGGTGAGGGAATGGTTGGTATGTATTGTTAGCTGGGTTACATGGATGGGTTGGATAAAGGAGTAGGTCGGTGAACGGATGGGATGGATGGGTGGGTGTGTGGATGATGGGATGAATAAGTAGGTGGGTGGAGGTACGTAGCAGGATAGAAGAGGAAAAACAGGACAAGCTTCACACTTAGACTGGCCTAGATTTGAGGACACAGACAAGTCTTTTAACTTGGCTGCAAGTGAGCTGTGATTACATCACTGCAGTCCAGGGTGGGTAAGTGACTGAGCCACTGTCTCAAAAATAAATTTTAAAAGATTTCTTATGTATGTCTAAAATAGAGCTATCATATCTATTTTTTAGAGTGATTGTGAGGATTAAGAAAATGAAGGTCTAGAATTCTACTGGCACATAGTAGGTGTTCAAGAAAGGTGAGTATCACCACTGTCAACTGCTACATCTGGTGGGAGGACTTGGGCCCCTGCGGGGGGGAGCAGTGGGCCAGGCTGGTGCTTACCCTGCTGTTGCACACTGTCCTTTCCTGTTGGCCATGCTGTCCTGTCAGGGTCATCTAGTGGAACCCCTCTCTGGGCTAATGAAGCAGTATAGTCCTTCTCAAGGATTGACTTGATGGACCTGTTGTTGAGAGGAAATAAAGATGAAGTCAGTGTCTCTCCCAGTAGTGGGGTGTATGCACCCAACCCTCAGGCCCACATACATACACTGAGCTCAGGGTATACTCTCCATTCATTCATTCATCATTCATTCATCCATCCAACACAATACTGACCTGATATCACACTTCCCTTCTCCCTGTGTGGCACGCAGCTAAATGCCATCAATTACCTCAGAGTCAAGCAAGCCCCTTCTTCTGATGCCATTTCACAGGATGAACTTAGTTTGCCTGTCATTGGAACTCTGTTCTCAGAATTTTCTTTTTTTCTTTTTTGAGACAGGGTCATGCTATATTGCCCAGGTTGGTCTCAAACTCCTGAGCTCAAGCGATCCGCCCACCTCAGCCTCCCGAAGTGCTGGGATTACAGGCATAAGCTGCTACACCCATCCTGTTCTCAGAATTTTCATTTTGGCTTAAGCTTTGGTGCAATTGGTTTGCCCCTACTGTTTACCATCAGATTTGTCAGTCCAACTGACAGAACATAAATTATGCACAATTCAGATGTTGAAGACTTTTTGAATGCCTTGTCTGTGGATGGGTGAGCTGACTTAGCCTGTGTACCTCAGTGTCCTCAGCTGTCAAGATGGGGTACTATCTATCCATCCATCCATTTATCTACGTATCTGTATATCTATATATACTGGTCTACCTACCTGTTATTAAGTTCAGCCTAAAGCTGCCTCCTTACATATTTTAGGTTTGGCCTAAATGTTTTCCCATACATAGTGAACTGTAAATTAACTGGACTCCTACACACACTGGAACCTACTCATGTGTCAATCACTGAATTTCAGCCAATAGAAGGCAGCCAACTGTTTAAACCATGTTCAAATAAAGCAAATGCTGAGCTGCAACCAGTCTGTCTGTTTCTGACCTCACTTCTGTCCTTCACCTTCCTTTTTTTGTCCATGTTCTGGTTCAGCGGCTGCATGATGTGAGGATCATTCTTTACTCAATTAACCTCTGTCAGCCAGGTGCCTTGACTCATGCCTGTAATCCCAGCCCTTTGGGAGGCCGAGGCAGGCAGATCCTGAGGTCAGGAGTTCGAGACCAGCCTGGCCAAGATGGCAAAACCCTGTCTCTACTCAAAATACAAAAATTAGCTGGGCCTGGTTGCACGCCTATAGTCCCAGCTACTTGGAAGGCTAAGGCATGAGAATCTCTTGAACCCAGAAGGCAGAGGTTGCAGTGAGCTGATATCGTGCCACTGCACTCCAGCCTAAGGGACAGAGAGAGATTCTGTCTCAGAAACAAAACACAGTGAAACAAAGCTTTAGACACATTAAGTTTGACAGACGTTATTATTATTTTTGAGATGCAGTATTGCTCTGTCGCCCAGGCCAGAGTGCAGTGGCTAATCTCTTCTCACTGCAACCTCCACCTCGCGGGTTCAAGCAATTCTTGTGCCTCAGCCTCCGGAGTGGCTGGGGCTACAGGCGTGCACCACTGGGCCTGGATAATTGTTGTATTTTTAGTAGAGACAGTGTTTGGCCATGTTGGCCAGGCTGGTCTCGAACTCCTGACCTCAGGTGATCCACCTGCCTCTGCCTCCCACAGTGCTGGTATTACAGGCCTGAGCCACCACACCCAGCCCTAATGTATCTAAAGGTTTTCTCTAAACACGACTACCTATCCATCTGATCTTACTTTGGATTCTTGTGTGCCAAGAACACGGTGGGATTGGTCAGTGTGTGAGAAGTGTCCTCAGGGTCACTAGCTGGGATGGGGGTCAGCCCCAGTGATCCCCAGGGACTGAGGCCCCTCAGGATCCTTGCTACCCCGCACCCCTGTATAGAAGGCACTTAAGCTCGAAGCACCTGGTACCAGTGGCCTGTGGTTTTGCTCCCTAATATCCCGCTCATGAAGAGGGGAGAGTAGCAGGCAGCAGGTCCCTCTGCTTCAGACAGTGAGCTCAGCTGTGTCCCGGCTGGAGGGAGCTGAGCAAAATGGGGACCGCAGGCCTCCTCCTGGCCTCCTGTCCATGTGCTCTGGCCAACAGCAAGTGATGCTGTGTGTATAGACCCAAGCCCTGTGCATAACCCACCTGCCAAAGCATAAATGACCGGGCCTGGCACGGTGGTTAACAGCTCAAGGGAGGCTCTTTCTTTGGAACCAGCCCTGCCCTGCTGCAGCACTGTGACAACTGCAGCAAGCTGGCTCGGCCCCCTGAAGACATCCATCATGCTGGAAGGCATTTGTTCATCCCATGAACTGGCCCTATGGGGACCTAATCATCTTGGCCAACTGGACCAATTTTGGTGAATTATCCCTCAGCAGGGCACCATGGGGGGACTTTAGCAGGTGCTCCATCCATAATGGTGCTGATTGTCCCCAACTGCCTGAGACACAGGTGGTCCCTTCAGCCACATCAGCTTCAGCCTGTGCCTTTCTGAGTGTGGCACCATGGTGGACTCACCTCTCAGGTCTAAGCTCGGCCTCCTGCCTGCAGAGGAGCCTCTAGGGTCCTTGGTGCTGGTCCCAGGTTCTGTTTCTGCAAGGTCGAGAGAGTCGTGTCACACAACATGGGCCAGGTACTTTGACACCCACTGACCACGTGGCCTTAACTGCTCTGACCATCCATTTTTCCTGTTCTGGCTCCTGCCACCTCTCCAGCAACCTCAACACCCCACTCTGAGTTCTTCCAGGAACATCATTCAGGCATTCACTCACTCATTCAGTTTTTCTATAAGTGAACTGAGCACCTGCTGTGAACTTGAGGTTGGAAAAACAGCAGTGAACACTGTATAAAGTCATCTGTTTCTCCTGACAGCCTTGCTCAAGCAGTTCCTTGTGTCTGGAATGCTCTTTTCTGGCTAACTCCCACCTACCCTCAGGTACCATCTCTCCCAGGAAGGACACCTCCCCATCACTGTCCCCCAGGTGTGGCCAGTAACTGAAGGCAGAGCTGTAGAAGTTTAACCACAGACCTGTAAGCAAGAAATAACTGCTAGCATTGGCTGCTGGGGGTGGGGGGGGCGCTGTTTGTTACACGGCATCATTGCAGGAAAAGCTGACCAATACAAACAGGCAAATTCTAGCTTCAAGCTTCAGGGCTGGGACATTGTGAATCAACACTTAGGGTTTTTAGCCAGGGTGGGCCAATCCTAAGCAGATGTCCTCAGAAAAGACAAAGTCTGAGCTTGAGGGAGACCTGGGTGAGTCCTTGCTCTGTCATGCAGGGATAGTAAAAAGCCTAGTGATTAAAAAACACATTCTCTGGAATCAAGTTGCTTGGGTACAAATCCCAGTGCTGCCACTTATAAGCCATGTAACCTGGGACTAGTTCCTTAACTTTTGGGCCTCAGTTTCCTCATCTGTGAAATGGAAAATGATTCTAGTCCCAGCCTCACAGGGGCATCATGTTGATTCAGTGAGCTAATACATGTGAAGTGCTGCGAGTTGCTACTTTTCACTGTGGGTGAGCTTGGCTTGGCAGCTCTACTTCCAGAACCTTGTCACGTATCCAGCGGACTTTGTGTTCTTTGGATTATTGGAAACTCTAGCTGGCGTGCTGTAGCTTTCTAGGCATCAAAACCTTCTTGTGCTGTCTCCATAGCAACTGCAAGCATAGACTCTGGAGTTGGACACACTCAGGTTCTAATCTGAAGACCTTGGGCAACTGATTTAACGTTCTTTGCTCATCTGTAAAATGACAGCAGTAACTTCACACGCCTCTGAGGGCACTCTGAGAATCAAATGAAATAGTGTATTTTTTACAGAAGCACTTAGCACAGCCCCTGGCTAGTAGATGGTGTTACTGGCTCTTCTTGGAGAGAGGGGACCTATTGGAGAGCTGTCTGCTTCTGGGCATGGGCCTGCAGGGAGGGTGTGACCAGGGCACTCCACTCTTGCCATTAGGACCCTTTGAGCCCTTTTCCCCAAAGGTGGCAAGAGCCAGGCACGGAGAATCAGCAAAGCCCACCTAGTACCTCCTTCTCCTCTGTCTCCTGGCTGTCTGGCTTGATCCAGAAGACTCATGGGGGCCCCCTTCTTGTGCAGAAGCTCCTGGTAGGAACCCATCTCTACAATGGCCCCATCTCCCAGTACCACGATTGCATCAGCCTGGGGCAGGATGTGGAATGCGTGGGTCATGAGAATCTGTATCTGGGCAGGGAAAGGTTAGAAGTTAACACACATGTAGCCACGTTCCATGGCTCATGCCTGTAATCCCAACACTTTGGGAGGCCAAGGCAGGTGGATCACTTGAGGTCAGAAGTTCAAGACCAGCCAGGTCGACATGGCTAAGCCCTGTCTCTACTAAAAATACTAAAATGAGCTAGGTATGGTGGCACACACCTGTAGTCACAGCTACTTGAGAAACTGAGGCATAAGAATCACTTGAAACTGGGAGGCAGAGGTTGCAGTGAGCTGAAATTGCACCACTGCATTCCATCCTAGGTGATACAGCAAGACTCTGTCAAAAGGAAGGAAGGAAGGAAGGAGAGAAAGAGGGAGGGAGGGGAAGGAAAAGAGGAAGGAAGGGAAGGGGAAGAGGAAGGAAGGGGAAAGAAAGTAAGAAAAGTTACACACACGTGCTTGGCTAGCCTCCTGGAGCAGCAGGTTGGGGTGGGAGTATTGTCCCTGGACAGTGGGGAGAGCTTCCCTTCTTGTGCTCCTGCCATCTTTCTTGAAAATAGCATTTCCAAATAGAGAAACAGAGGGGACTGCTTCAGCCTGTCTCAAGAAGACAAGGAGTCCACCTGACCTGGGCCAATCATCTGAGGCACAGCTGTAGTAGTTAAACCACAGATGCATAAGCAAGAAACAGCTGCTGTTGTAAGCTGATGGAATCTGAGGGGTTGTTTGTTATGTAGCATCATCACAGCAAAAACTGACCAATACAAAGAGGAAAACTGGACTCAAGTGGAAGGGGGCGGTGAGAGAAACTTGGGTTAGGACTGGATGCTAAGGGCAGCCTCTGCCTTTGCCCTGTGCCCTCTGACACGTTCCCAAACTTACCGTTCCCCTGGAGTAGCCCGCCAGGCCTGATGACCTGGTTGAAGATGTGCTGGCCGACCTGGGCGTCCAGAGCCACCAGAGGGTCATCCAGCAGGTACACAGCTGCCTTTCTGTACATAGCCCAGGCGAGGCTCCGCTGCTGCTTCTCGCCCCTGAGAGATTCATGCCCTGTGGCCACAAAAGGAACAGTGTCCTATGTCTGCATCTACAGGGTGAAACTGGGGAGCCCAGGCAGAAGCAGGGTGGGCCACATCTGCCCATCAGGGTGAGGTATAGCTCCCCATGCCTGTCCCCGGGGACATGCTCAACTTCAGAGGCACTCACTGCCAAGCCAGCATCCCCTCCATCCTCCCCTTCCCAGCACGCTTCCTGGAGGAGTTACCTGCGCTTCCCAAGCTACTCTGTCTCCTACTCACTCTCTGTATCCATTTGAGTCCAACTTCTGTTCCCTTTCTCCACTGAGACCACCTTTAACGAGGACATCATTCATTTCCCTAATTCTGTGATCCAATGGTAACTTTTCAGTCCTACTTTTAAAAAAATTTTGAATTTTAATTGATTTATTTTAGTTTTTATTGATATGTGATAGTTGTACCCATCTGAGGGGCACAGGTGATAGTTCGAGACCTGTAGAGCAGTGGTCCCCAACCTCTTTGGCACCAGGGATCGGTTTTGTAGAAGACAACTTTTCCATGGACCTGGGGGCAGGGGGGTGGTTTCAGAATGATTCAAGCACATTACATTTACTGTGCACTTATTTATTGAGATGGAGTTTTGCTCGTCACCTAGGCTGCAGTGGAATGGCATGATCGTGGCTCACTGCAACCTCTGCCTGCTGGGTTCAAGCAATTCTCCTGCCTCAACCTCCCAAGTAGCTGGGATTACAGGTGCCTGCCACCATACCTGGTTGATTTTTTGTATTTTTAGTAGAGATGGGGTTTTATCATGCTGGCCAGGCTGGTCTCAAACTCTTGACCTCAGGTTACCCACCTGCCTCACCCACCCAAAGTGCTGGGATGACAGGCATGAGCCATTGTGCCTGGCCTGCTTCTATTATTATTACATTGTAAAATATAATGAAATACTTACGCAACTCACCATAATGCAGAATCAGTGAGAGCCTGAGCTGGTTTTGCTGAAACTAGATGGTCCCTCTGGGGGCGATGGGAGACTGTGATAGACCATCAGGTATTAGATTTTCATAAGAAGCATGCAGCTGCAGGTCGTGGGTTCATGCCTTCAATCCTAGCACTTTGGGAGGCAAAAGCAGGTGGATCATGAGGTCAGGAGTTTGAGACCAGCCTGGCCAACATAGTGAAACTCCGTCTCTACTAAAAAAATACAAAAATTAGCTGTGCGTGGTGGTATGTGCCTGTAATCCCAGCTACTCAGGAGGCTGAGGCAGGAGAATCGCTTGAACCTAAAAAACGGAGGTTGTGGTGAGCCAAGAACGCACCACTGTTCTCCAGCCTGGCAACAGAGCGAGACTGCATCTCAAAACAAAACAAAACAAAACAAAAACAAAAACAAAAAAAAAAAAAAAAAAAAAAGCAGCAGCATGCAGCCTAGATCCCCCGCATGTGCTGTTTATGGCAGGGTTTGCCCTCCCATGAGAATCTAATGCTGCCACTGACCTAGAGGTGGAGCTTAAGTGGTGATGTGAACAATAAGGAGTGGCTGTAAACACAGGTGAAGCCTCACACGCCTGCCCGCTGCTCACCTGCTGTGTTGCCTGTCCAGTTCCTAACAGGCCTCAGAGTGGTACTGATTCGCAGCCAGGGGGTGTGGGGACCCCTGATGTAGACAGTATGTAATGATCATTACAGGGTAACTGAGATAGTCATCAGCCCAAATATTTATTTTCTGTATTGGGAACACGACAATCCTTCTCTTCTAGCTATCCTGAAATTTACAAATAAATTCTCATTCACTATGATTTCCCTGGTGTACTATTGATTACTATCACTTATTCCTTCTATGTAGGCTGCCTTGTCTTTCATGCATTCTTTTTTAAAATTATTTTTATTTATTTTTGAGACACTGTCTTGCTCCTTCATCCAGGCTGGAGTGCAGTGGCATGATCTCAACCCAGTCCAACCTCCACCTCCCGGGTTCAATCGATTCTCCTGCCTCAGCCTCCTGGGTAGCTGGGATTACAGGTGCGTCACCATGCCTGACTAATTTTTGTATTTTTAGTAGAGATGGAGTTTCACCATGTTGGCAAGGCTGGTTTCGAACTCCTGACTTCAAGCAATCTGCCGCCTGGGCCCCCCCAAGTGCTGGGACTACAGGCACGAGCCACCGCACGCAGCCTTCATTCACTCTTACATTAGTTCATTCCACTAATAACTACTGCCTGGTTATCATATCCCCGGCAGGATTCTAGGCTTTGGGGAAACAGCAATGAACGAAAACAAAGTTTCTGCTCTCTGAATGGATCAGTCACTCTAATGAGGGGGAGAGAGGCGATCCATAAACCAGTAACACAGACAGCACATCAGGTGGAAATAAATACTAAAGCAGTTGCAGCGGCTCATGCCTGTAATCGCAGCACTTTGGGAGGCCGAGGTGAGTGGATCACTTGAGGTTAGAAGTTCAAGATCAGCCTGGCCAACATGGTGAAACCCTGCTTTTACTAAAAGTAAAAAAAAAAAAAAGCAGCCAGGCGTGGTGGCACCTGCCTGTAATCCTAGCTACTGAGGAGGCTGAGGTGGGAGGATTGAACTTGGGAGGTGGAGGATGCAGGGAGCCAAGATTGCGTAACGTGCGCTCCAGCCTGGGCAACCGAGCAAGACTCCATCTCAAAAAAAGAAAAGAAAGTAGAGAAACAACCCACAGAAAGAAAATATCTAACGTTACATATCTAACACCAGTCTGTTAACCACAATGTATAATTTGTGTGACTCAACAAAAACAACCAAATTACAGAATGGAGAAACAGTTGAACACACGCTCCTTCAATAAGATGTGCAAATGGAAAGCACATGAAAAGATGATCAATACCGTTATCATTATGGCCATCTCAACTGAAACCACAGTGACATACTCCTTCACACACACTAGGAAGGCTATGATCCAAGAAATGTAAAATGACAAGTGTTGGCAAGGTCGGAGAGAAATCACAACCCTTAAATACTCCGTGTGGAATATAAGCTGGTGCAGCCTACTTTTAACACAGTTTGGTATTTCCTCAAAAAGCTAAAAATAGGCCAGCACAGTAGCTAATGCCTGTAATCCCAGCACATGGGGAGGCTGAGACAGGTATATCACTTGAGTTCAGTCCAGGAGTTGAAGACCGCCCACGACCACAGAACCCCGTCTCTACTAGAAATACAAAAATTAGCCAGGCATGGTGGCGCACACCTGTAGTCCCAGCTACTTTGGAGGGGCTGAGACAGGAGAACTGCCTGAGCTCAGAATGTGGAGGTTGCAGTAAGCCGAGATCGCACCACTGCACTCCAGCCTGGGCGAGGGCACAACACCATGTCTCGAAAAAGAAAGGCTGGGCATGGTGGCTAACGCCTGTAATCCTAACACTTTGGGACGCTGAGGTACAAGAATCACTTGAGGTTAGGAGTTCAAGACCAGCTTGGCCAACATGGCAAAACCCCATCTCTACCAAAAATACAAACATTACCTGGGCATGGTGGCACGCACCTGTATTCCCAGCTACTTGGGAGGCTGAGGCAGAAAAATTGCTTGAACGCAGGAGGCAGAGATTGCCATGAGCCTATATGACCACGGCACTCCAGCCTCGCCGACAGAGCAAGATTCCAACTCAAAAAAAAAAAAGAAAAAAAAAGGAAAGAAAAACAAAATTCCTGGGAGTGACAGGGTGCAGTGGCTCACATGTGTAATCCCAGCATGTTGGGGGGCTGAGGTGGGTGGATCACCCGAGGTCAGGAGTTCGAGACCAGCCTGACCAACATTGAGAAACCCCATCTCTACTAAAAATACAAAAATTAGCAGAGTGTGGTGATGCACACTTGTAATCCCAGCTACTCAGGAGGCTGAGGCAGG